GTAGTAGTAGTAGTAGTAGTAGTAGAGAGAGAGAGAGAGAGAGAGAGAGAGAGAGAGAGAGAGAGAGAGAGAGTACCTTGATAAGTTGAAGCTTTAGAAGAGAGCTTCAGAGGGAAGAGAGAGCATCGTTTTCGTTTTCGTTTGGAAAAAGGAGAGAGGAAATGAAGAGTTTCAGATGAGAAAGCGCAAAGAAATCACAGAGCTTCAAGGGCATTTCCTCAATGTTTCGGTGAAGAGAGAAAAATCACAGAGCTTCAAGGGCATTTTCTCAATGTTTCGGTCAAGAGAGGGAAAACTCAGAGAAAATGCAGAGCTTCAAGGGCGTTTCCTCAAAGTTTCAGCGAAGACAGAGAATTGAAGAGCTTCAGATGTTGCTGAAATGAAGAGCATCAAATGATAAAACTCAAAGAAAACACAGATCTTCAAGGGCGTTTCCTTAATGTTTCGACGAAGAGAGAGAAAACGTAGAGTGTGTATAATCTGGACGACCAAGGGTCCTGCGTGTTCTCCTAAGCGACTCTTCTTAGCCTTGACGGGTACTTTACCTAGACTTCTTTCGTCTATTTCCTTAACTTTCAGACCAACTTTCTTAAATGTAAATTTAGTTAGGTTTCTTCAGTAATATGGTAGCTTAAACTCTTAAACAGTTTCACTGTTTGGCTCCTATACCAAAACGCACCAGGATCTACAGTGAATGCTTTTGGCTGATTTTAGAGTAGGTATGTGAATAAGAGACTATTGCACTTTACTATTTCTTATAAAATACGATAATAGTTTAAACAGAAAAGGAGTAAGCAGATAAATGGAATGACATATATTTCTATTACTAACCACTGTGTGTGGTTGAGATTTCCTATTTTTATGCTAAACACAAGTTTAAAATTGCATAATAATCAAACCATTATAATTGCATTAATTACTGAGACTGTATAGATACAACAGATACAGACTGTATAGTTACAACAGACACGGATCAAGGCAAATATAAACAACGTTTATACAAACATGATGAAAGTAAAAGCAAAAAATATAAAAACACACTTACAATGTACAAATACAATAACTGGAAAAGAGTTTCTAGTACTGAGGATAATATGACGGAAGTGAAGAAATATTACAATCGCACATATTGGAAATAGAAGAAAGGAGAAGATAGAACCTGGGATTGAGATTGGAATATGAAACCTGGAGAACATGAGCTATGAGGTCAGGATAGCTGTTGCAGTAGATGGAGCATGAAGCGAAGAAGTAAGAAAAAGGCATAGTAGCAGAGTAAAGTCAGGGAGAGTGAGAGCCGAACAGAGTAGAGCAGAGCAGAGTTGAGCAGAGCAGAGTAGAGCAGAGCAGAGCAGAGAAGAGAAGAGAGGAGAAGCTCTTGAGCGACCTGTCTGTTTGAAGGCAAGAGGTGCTCTTATATATTTGATGAGTGGTTCCTTAGCGGCGACGTAAAGGAAAAGAAAGACGAGACATAAAGCAAAAGAGAGAAAGACAAGTGCCTTTGTCTCGAAGGTAAGGCCAAAGTGGGGAGCAAGAAAAGACCTAAAGGGAAAAGAAAGGACATAAAGCAAAGGGATAAAACCCAAAAAAAAAAAAGCAAAAAGAAAAAGAAAAAGGAATCCTCTTTTTGGTCGGGGATGAGGACGAAATGGCATCTGAGAATAGTATCTCTTTGTCATCATGTGTCGGTGATTTTGTCGTTTTCTTGTGGCTACAGTAGCTTGTTCGTCTTCTATCGCAGTGGGAACAGTAATTTTTTGTCTTCTTATGGAGTGGCTACAGTAAATCTTGTCGGCTTTTTGTCGTCTTATGCGTTGGTGAGAATAATGACTTGTACGACAGGTATTTAGTTTGTCGGTGGACTATTTGTGGTGATGGTGGTAGTATGCAGCATAGTATCAAGGTCTTTGGCTATATTCATCCGGATCATCCTCTTCTTCTTCGGGATCAGTTTCTTCAGGGGGAAAGTATCGATTGGTACGAGCTGGTGATGATTGTACGGTCTCTTCTGATGAGACTGGCTTTCTTCCTGCTTCTGCAAAAATCTCTTTCATTTGTTGTTCAAGAATTTCTTTGGTAGCATTAGGGTTTGCTTGTAGCATATTTCTCAAGTATGTGGGAAAATCAAAGGAGGTATTGGAAGTATTATATCCTGTTGGATTGGGATTGTATATAGGTTTTTGTGGTGGAATTCTTTTTGGCACTATGGTTGTGGGATCCATATTGAAGATGTCCCACCATTTAACTGAAATGGTTTTTTCAAGGCGGGGAATATAAGTATGGTCGGCTGTATTATTCACAGAGATTGAATATTCCCACTTCATAATCCATGGGAGTTGGTATAGTGCAACAAAGTAAAGGTGAGCGTCTGTATTAATAACAATATTATGGAAGACCGCAAACTGTTCCTGCGCTTTTTTGAATGCAGGAGGCAAAATTGTAGTAGTTGATCCCCATACTAAAAACCAATTTTTAAACCAGCTTGGGAATCTTTCGAAAATGGGTAACCTAAATTGAATATACCAGCTATGAGAATTATTTGGATTTTGATAGTAAAATACTTTATGCTAGGCTTCTATGTACTCAGCATATTTATAATATTTGTACGAAAAATCAATATTGTTTAGTTTTTTGCCTTGAGTGGGATTGCAACCCCACTC